GTTTTTCTTCATTGTGGGTGGGTGAAAAGATTTAGGAAATTTCAGGGGATTATGGTCATGGGAAAACTTTATAAAAACATGCTGAAAATATGTACCTACAAAACGAAACATAGGATTTTCGTGCACCGGCGGCCAATAAATAACAGTTTAGTATTGGCCATTTTTTCCTCCACCACACACATCAAACTCATGGCTTCCTAGTGCCTCAAAAAGCACACTATTTCTTCTTTGAATTCAAAGTTGCAAGACGCCATCAGTTATAGACCATTATGAATATATAATAATGGAATAAGATTCTCAAAGCAACATGCAAATCTTTGGGGTACAATAATTATTTACTTTTAATTCAGGGGTTGTTTGGTGACGTAATCCAGCTTTAATTTATGAGAACAATTTTGTTCACCCTCATTTGAGAGGGTTATGTTCACCCCACCCCTATTTGCCTGCCATGTGGCAAGGCAATATTTCATAATTTGGCAATTGTTTTATCTTTTTCTTTTTTAATCCATTTTAAAAAATATATATATTAAAATGTTTCTTTTTTTACGATCTTTCATTTGGTACTAATATTGAATATAAAAAATTTAAAAAAAATTCAACTAAAAATAGATATTTTAGAAATTAATGTTTTTTTTTCAAATTTTTAAATATACAAAATTGATATCATTGGAAAGATCATAAAAAACTAAAAAATATGATATATTTTTTTTTATAAAAAGTAGACTATAAATAAAAAAGTTATAACATTTTAAGGAAAAAATGGGATGGAATGCCACATGACAACCATAGAGCAAAGAGGGTGAAGATCACCCTCCTTAGTGAGGGTGTACAAAACTGCACTCTTAATTTATCCGTTTGTTGTACAATAGTTCTAATACTCCGTATTTACTTATTTTGTACATTTATGGTACCTCCATAAATTCTTATTGACAAATTTGACTTTGACAAAGTTGATCGAGTATAATCATGCTCTCTTGAGGTTTGTGCAGAGAAGAAAAAATTAACAATAACTACAAATTCATGTTAACATCCTTGATTGGGATGTGACTTGAACCTCCGACCCCTTCTTTGGGAAATCAGCAGTGATGCCATCAGATCACAAGTTACATGGTAAACTATTGAAATCTTAAAAAAAAGTGAAAGTTTGGATGACCACTATTCATGTGGAGGGAGTATGTATTCACTATTCATGTTTGGATGACCACTATAAGATGTCGTAATAATAATGTGAAAAAAATGTATATGTAATCCAAGAATTGTTGTATATGTAATCCAAGATTTGTGTGATATGTTCAATATCGTATGTCAATATAGGGTCCGAATGATTGAAATTATCACTCTAAGATTAAATATCATAGATTCTTATGTGTTTAATTGCTTATTAGTTTCATTGCTAAGTTTAGATAATTTTTCTTGACAAAAGTTTAGATAATAAACTTTTAGCTTATACACTAATATTCAAAAGAAATCATATAAAAACGGTCAGAAAATTAACGTACTCTTAGCTTATATAAAAATTTTTTGATCGTGCTCTTAGCTTATATAATTGATTAATATACATCCCCATGTGCGAAATCTGTTAAATTTAAAAAAATAAAAAGTTATATAAAACTGATAAATTGAAAATAAGAATTTGAAACAAGTTCCAATAGAGTTATGTTATGTTCGATATGTTGAACACTTCATCAGATCATGTCATCATGCCCCTTTAGTCTATTACGAAGTTCTCCGTATATAATGGCATAATGCGTACTACCCATTACGAAGTAGTAGAATATAATTAATATACTCGTCGTATATTCAGAATTACTGATGATCTTAACAAATCATGAAAGGATATTGATTGTCCTTGGACCTTGATGGGGAATCCTAAATATATACTACGTACTCATTTCTCAAATTAATTTGCAAGGTAAAATATTTTTGGTTCATTAAAGTTAAACCCTCTTTATTAATAATTAATTCAACTTTCAGTAATTAAAATTTACTACATTAAAATCTCTCTAAAGTTGCACAATTAAGTTAATTAGAATATAATTAAAATTTGATATCAAATAAGTGAATCGAATAAAATTGAATGATAAAAAAGTGAACTTTGCAAAACCATTTGTTTGGGATGAAAGTAGTATTAACAACACATCAAATCCCAATATTAGAATCATAAGAAAACCACGTACATGCTTTAGAGCTTATGAGAAAAAAACAAGAGGGAAAGAGGACAATACATGTAAAGAGTTGCAATACTTTAAAAGAATACTTAAAAGAAGCTTTTGAAGACTGGTATGCATATAATTTTCTTTCAAGGTGATGACAATACATACATAAGATATGCATGCATGTTCTTTCCCCTATAGCCTTGTTGCGTTCTGTGGATGGAATGTATACACGCACACAAGCCAGACCCTCATTATTGTTCCTCTAGAGAGAATTGCTTACACCAGATCGGGCAAGCCATTTAGGACCAGTGGGTGCCAGCGTGAGATATTATTACTTCACAATCCCATTTCTGAAATATTTTTCTATTCGGTCAACACAACTATTTTATATATTCAATTTTTATTTAATTTTATTCTGGTTTTTGCGACTTTGTAATGTTTTTAATGTAGTTTCTGGATATGTAATTCTTTTTTTTTTTAAAATAATTTGAGTGGGGACAGAAATCCGTTTGATTTATCGTCGGTCACACATCGTAAACCATAAAGTGTTTTACAATTCACTTACAATTCGGGGCGGAGAGAGTATTATTGTTTCCTAAATACCTAGCATTGTGATGACATCGGCTCCAACACTTCTAGGAAGGAGGTCATACGTTTAAATCTAATATCAATTCAAGGATATTGCCCTTAATAGAAAACGATACTCTGTATTATTATACTACGTATGTCAGTATGAGGCTGATTTAATCATTTCATTCACTTTTTCAACAGCAGCATATCTGTCCGTCTCAACCAAAATTTAAACAACTTTGCTATAGGTAACCCATTTTTTACCCCATTTTGTACCCCACCCTATTTTTGTGGCTCACAAAAGCCCAACACATTAAATGAATTGCTCCATTTTAATGAAGTGCATTTGTGAGCCACAAACTAGGGGTGGGTACAAAATGAGGTACAAAATGCAATTAATCATAGAGAACTTTAGGTACTTCAAAGCCCTATCCTTCAAAACCATCCATCTAAACGGATTGTAAGGGACAGTTTGGAGTTGTGTTGTGGAATGTGAAGGGTTTAATTTTGAGAGGAAGTACCACTTCTGAGAATTTATAAACGTTGAAGGGATAAAATTATTTGTAAAACAATACTTCCATTGCTCTTTATTTGTTTTTAGAAACATCATATCTACTGACATATAGACTAAATCATATTTCCATTCCATCTGGTTGTGAGATTATCGTGCCTAGTGGGAGGTCTCGAGTTAAACCTGCTAGGCACATAAGCTAAGGGTTCGAAACTCAATGGAGTGAGTTTCAGCCTCGTTTACTCCAGCCCCCCCCCCCCCCCCCAGCTCCCATCCCCCAGACCCCTCCCGGAGCAAAAAAAGGTGGATTTGTTAAGTTTTTTGTAAATGGTGATCATCTAGCCCTCGTGGCTAGCTCGAATGATTGCAAATCATTACTTCATCTCATCTCAAGCGACAATGTGAAAGTCAGATTCTTTATGGGAACTTGATGACGTTTCACCGATCAATGACGCTTTTTTGGGAGCTTATACGATGAACCCAATGACGCACAATCAATGAGTTAAAACTTAAAAGCATACTTCAACTTTCAAGCGGCTCAAATTTATCTCAAAGTTTGAGGTAGGTTGGTAGGAGCTAGGCATGGACCGGTATCGGGCCGGGCTTCGGGCCGGTCTAAACCGGGTTTTTTGTTTGTGGGTTAAGGCCCGGAAGTAGGGCTGGACTGAACCGGGCCGGTTCAGGCCTCGGGCCTGGGCCCGGCCGGGCCTCGGTTCAGAATATTGAGGCCCGAGCCCGAACCGGGGGTGGCCGGTTCCGGGAAGGGCCACCCGCCCTATTTTATTTTTCTTTTTTTTGGCTTCTTTATTTAATCCCCTACCCCTCTTTCTCAACCCCAAACCACCCCAAACCACCTCAAATGGACCAAAATACCTAATCTAACCCAAAACATAAAAATTTTCAAAAAAAAATAAAAAAAAAAATTAATTCCGGCCCGGACCGGGCCCGAACCGGCCGGGCCGGTTCACCATATGGGAGGCCCGGGCCCGGAACCGGGAACCACCGGGCCGGTTCGACCCGAACCGCCGGTGGACCGGGCCACCGGGCCGGGCCGGTTGCTACAGTGGCCGGCCCGGGCCGGTTCCGGGTCGGGCCGCCCGGCCCGAGTCCAGGCCTACCCGGAACCGGCCCGGGATTCTACCGGGACCCCTCTACCCACCCCAAACCCCGCCAAAAGACCCAGCCCAACCGCCTACCACCAAAACAATTTGAAAAACAAAAATTGGCCCAGACCGGCCGGGCCGATTCCAAAAGGAGTTGAAGCCATGACCCACCCCACCCCCGGTCCGGGCCCCAGGCCCGGTCTAGATTCCGGTTCACCGGGCCTGGCCGTTACTGCACAGTGGCGGTCCAGTCCCGGTCCATCCTTAGTAGTTAGTACTTAGTAGGAGCCCATTATAATCCGACAATGTCGGGATTATTTAATATTACCTTTTTAAAAAATATTATTAGAATGTTTTGATGCTTGACTGTGACTATTTGAAATATATGTTTAAACAATTTATACAAAATAAACACAAAATAAATATCATTTGTACATATTTAAAAAAATTATTAAAAGAATTTAAGAATTTTCATTTTATAAAATAAATATCATAGTATGATTTTTAAATAATACGGAGTATAATTTATAATCAAAATTACAGAGTATAAATGGGTAGTGCTTATATTGTTTAATAACAACAAAATTATATCATAATTTGTTTAATAACATTACGAAATTATATTGTCCTCTATGGGGTTACCCTAAAAATGTATTAACAGCCCATCAAATCCCAATATTAAACTCATAACAAACCACATGCTTTAGAGCTTCTGAAAAAAGCAAGAGGGAAGAGAAACAATACATATAAAGAGTTAGTTACAATACTTTTAGAATACAATAGTCACCAAGCTTAATTAAAGCTCTTGAAGACTGGTATATAAATTGCTCTCAAGGTGATGTCGTGATGACAATACATGCATAAGAATATGTACTGAAAAATGGAAAATGAAGAGGAAAACATGTGATTCTCCATGCTCTTTCCCCCTTGTGTTCTATGGATGAAATGTGTACCAAGCGGACACAAGGCTGGCCGTCATTATCGTTCCTCTAGAGAAAATCGCTTACACCAGATTGGGTGAACCATTTAGGACCAGAGTGTGCCAGCGTGAAATATTTTTTATAAGCTTCAAAAACTTAAGCTGTTCCCATTGAGCATTTCATAAACCCGGAGATGCAAACCTCAGCCGATCTTTGAACCGGCTCACTGCTCGGTCTTTGGGGGACGATGTCTTTAGCACACCAGCTTGGCGCATAATCTCTGGAATTTTTGCAATTTCAGTAGTCAGCCATCAGAACATCAAACTGCTTGTGCCAAGACTAGCATAGTTTAATGACATTTTATGCCAGTTTGGTACCTTCTTTTGTAAGGCTCATTCAGCCATTTCATTCAAATTTTCAAGCGAAGAAGCATAGTTTAGCTGTTTCAATCAAAATCCAACCTACCTAATACGACCTAATAATCTAATAATAGAGAACTTTAAGGTCCTTCAAAGCCCTATCCTTCAAAACCTTCCACCTAAACAGATTCTAATGGTCAATTTGGAGTTGGGTTGAGAATTTATAGAAGTTCAAGGGATACCATTATTTGTGATAAACAAACAATATTTCAATCACTTTATTTGTTTTTAGAAACATTCTATTTACCGACATATAGATTACGCCCTCCAACCCCTAATAATCCATCCCTACCTTGTATGATGTTATTTTTTCTCCAGGCAAGAGAAAAAATATATGGTCCGTACGTAGTATTATTCATTCTAGGGTCAAAAATCCATTCAAATTCCTTCAGTCATCATAAGTTGATAAGAATAAGGCCATACCAAATGGGGTAATAGATTGTGGTGCTCCCCTGTGCAAGTTGATTAAATATGTGTAAAGACTTGGCTGTTGGCTCAATTATCACTTTCTTGTTCATAGAGGTTAAGGTGATCATATGACAGCTAAACTGGGCATCACGCCAAAGGCAAATTTTAAGTTATCAAGGATGAGCTAAATTAACTGGAGACAATTTTTTGGTTTTGGCTCCAAAACATTGGGCCAATCCCACAAAATTTAATATGTGGCTTTCACCGTTTCCACTTTAGGTAAATGGCTATAGATTGCTTGCCTTTTACTCTTTCTCTAAAATTTATCCAGTGAAAAACAACAAGAAATTTTACTGATATTGTCATATAGTTCAGACAGACCAAAACTGGCAACTTGGCAAGGAATCCATAGTAGTTCATCCAAAGTAAAAACAAGCCAGGGCCCAAAACTGCTTATCAGAAGGCAATGTAGTGAAGAATAAATCAAACTTGCCTCGTGTTCTCTCGATTTCTTCACCAAGTTCTTCCTCCCATTTCTTTCTAATCTCAGAGTCACTTGCATAGTAAATAAGAATTGATGCCACAAGTTAAAGGGTGAATAAAATTTATGTACTGCAAATAAGCACAAGAATGATTATCTGACAGACCTTGGATTGATTGGCTCTGGCTGTGACTCTAAAATGAGTTCTTTAAGTTCGCCAAGTCTGGGTGATTGGGCATCCTGTGTAGCCTCATTTAAACCACCAATGTTTGATATCCGTTTTGAACAAACTGTACTGGAATTTCCTGCAATCTCAACAGCAGCAGAAAGCCTCCTGCTAAGGAAGCGTTTGGGTGATTTTCCTTTAGGAGGTAAATTTAAATTATTTGGAGTATTTTCCTTGTTACTGGCTGGACTCGATGTGCAGGATGCATTCATAGAATTATAAAATTCTTCATATAGAGGTGTTTGCAGCTTCTTCAGATCAAGTGCCTTAAATAAAAAAAGAGGCTATTGAGTCTACCATCCATGATTCAAAAGAGTAATCCAAATAGACATTTGACCAAAAAAGTACCTTTTCATCAAGGAATGCCCTAATTTTCGATTCAGTCGCTTCATCATCATCCTCACCTACAGATTGCCCACATGGAAATGTGAATCCGCTTTGCATATCAAAAGATATGGGGCTATTGTTAAGTTCATTATTAGGTTGACTGGATACAATATCATCTGGACTCCTTTCCAATTCAGAACTTCCACCATATTTGCATTCCCAATCATCAGGCTCACACATAGGATTGAAACTCTACGTTAAAAAGAGTGAATATGCATATTAGTGTCTCGGCGATCTATGTGTTACAGTTCCCATAGGGCACAAGAGGAAAGAATAATTACCTTGTTCGGATCATAGGAAGGCAATTTAGTTGCATAGTCCATAGATTCACTAACAAGAGGATCGTCTTCAAAATCAATCTGACACATATCATCATCATCATCATCAGAATTCCTTGGCTTCCAAAGTGACTCTTTTCCAGCAAACTTCTCAGGATATATAGTCGAGCACCTCACACTGTCCCCTTTGCAAACATCTTTCAAACCATTGCAAGAAATTCTTATATCAGAGTTCAATCTGCAGACCAAATTTAACATCAAGTGAGGTGATAAAACAAAATTCAGAACCAACCTAACCCATGAAACTAAATGCTTACGATTTCTTAACATCCATCTTCTGAGCTGTTGTCTTGTTCCCAGCATTGTTCTGGTAATTTAGAGGTTGCACTTATTATTGAAGGCACACTACAGTATACAAAAAGGTATACAAAAAGGTCTAACATATTGCTGACCATAAATGAATTGTTTGAACCAGGATGACTTTCATGATATACTCCCGTAACAAATGGATGCTGCATACAATTAGAAAAAACCTGTTAGAAGCTTGATCATGCACAGTCTGATAATTGCCATTCTATCATACTTTCCGAAAGCTAAGGGTTATGCATAATTCATAAAATGTGACTATCATACAGGTGGGATTAGAAAAGTAACCTGCAGCAAATCAGATGCTGTAGATCTTAGGTTCGGTTCCCTGCAGCAAAACAGCGGGGGGGAATAAGAACACTCCTATATTGGGAGGGAATCTTGACTAGCCTCATAAATTGCTGAGTTATATATGATTTAGACATAACTAAGAAATGTGGAATATAGAACTGGGCATACTTCTGTAAACATTTTAGTAAGAAATCTTTGGCTGCAGCTGATAGATGTTCAGGAATGGGGGGATGAGATTTAGTGGTCCCTATATGAAAGAGTGCAGCGACCTGTTAAAAGAGTAATTACATTATGAGGAATCACATACATGTCATTACTATAATAAGTTCAACCGTATACTGTAGTGGGTAAATAGTGATATACAAAGGTCATTAATACCTCCTGATATTGTTCGCTCCAAGGAGGCCTGCCGGTAGCCATTTCAATTACAGTACAGCCAACACTCCATATGTCAGCAGAGCTACATATTATAGAAAATAATTATTCAAAAAAGGGAGGTAGAGATACAGTTCATTCAACATGATAAGGAGAAAAAGGTAAAAAATAATCGTTGAGTAGAGAACACAAACTAGCATGATTACAGAAGACCACATTCAAACTAAGTTTGATAGCTACTACATATAATTGTTAATTTATACTCACAAGTTATGCCCAGTCTGGAGAATAACTTCAGGAGCCATCCAATATGGAGTACCTTTCATTGACTTGGCCCCTGTCATAGTGGCCTGCAGCAACATATCCCAATTATGATGATGTTTTCTAACAGGCATACCACTTTTAAAATGAAACCAAGCCAGAATATGCATACTAATTCAACGACTTTCTTTGATGCACCAAAATCCGCAAGTTTAATGCAGCCTTTGTTATCCACAAGAATGTTTGCTCCCTGTACAGAGAAGACATTTCATGAATTACATAAGGAATTGAAACATACACTACATTGTATATTGGATGAATAAAATACCTTTATATCTCTATGCATAATTCCATTTTTGTGCAAATACTCCAGTCCAATCAACAATTGCTTTGTGTACATTCGTATGACCTAATTAAAAGAGAAAAAGAACAAAAGAACATTGAGTTCAGAAACTCCCGGCATCCACATAATATCTTGCAATAACTGCATGTTCATATTCCTGCAGCCTTACATATTTTCAGCGGCAAACTACCAAATCAAGATGATTGATAGAGACTACCCATTTTGAGAAAAGCATGAAAGATGAACCACTTCAAAAAACTACTTACAATTTCCAATACTTCATAATTAGAGCAGTCCGGTTAGAAAGTATGCTTGATTGCTTGGGACCGGTTCGGTTCTGGTTAAAATTTGATCGAACTGTTTTAAAATTTGTAGTTGTTAAATTCGGTTCGGTTCTAGTAAAAAATGTAGTTAAATTCGGTTCGGTTCATACCTTTTTACGGTTCCTTATAAAAAATTATTATTATCCTCCTAAAATGAACATATTTTACTTTCAATTACATAAAAATATTCAAATTTCGGATTATGAAAATACATTGTCAAAGTTTACATTATACATACATGATACATCCAATAATCAAGAGAATATTACCCAAAATAGGACTAAAAAGGTTTGAAAATTCCGAAATAGGACTGCCACGTTCTTATTCCCAAAATAGGACTAATTGCTGCCATGTTTAGGCAGTACTAGACTTCAAACATGACAATATTTTCCAAACATGGCAGTAATTACTCCTATTTTGGAAATAAAAAACATGACAGTCCTGTTTTGGAATTTTCAAACTGTTTTTGTCCTATTTCGGGAACTTTCCCATCAAGCAAATATCACAAAAATATTCAAGTACAAACATTAAGTTTAAACATAACAAAAACATTAAGGTTTAAGATAGGCATCAATTGCCTATCAACAAGGTTTACTAGTTCCAAGGTACAAATCCAATAGCAGGTAGTTCACTCCATTTAAGGTGCTTCCATGTGAAATTGTTTGAAATTTTGTGATCATGTTCTACATGAAGTTAAGATTATGCCCAACAAATTTCAGCTTAAGTTCAATCGAAAAGTTAATCAAATAAATTATTGAAAAACACTACAACTTTTATACATATTTTGGCACATTTTTTCAATAACTTATTTAAATGACTTCCCGATTGAATTTAAAGTTGAAATTTGGTGTGCATAATCTAAACTTCATGAAGATCAAGCTCACAAAATATCATCAAAATATTCCACCCATAAGTACCTCTATTAATTTATTGGAACCGGAACCGATCAAATACTATAGGACCGAACCTCAAAAAACAGAAGTCCAAAATTACAGGAACCGAACTGAACCACATTTGATTCGGTTCGGATCGATTTTCCCGGTTCTAAGTCCCAGGCCTACTAGAAAGCTTCTCAGGTTAGTTTTTGCATTTTAATCTTTTTATTGGTTCCCAAAATTCTACAACTATCTAGTAAGACACATTCTGTCACCCTAGTTTTTGCATGAATGAAACCAGGTGCATATTGGGCCAATTCCTATATATTATTAGCCAATAGATCTATTAATCAAATATGAGTAAGTAGTTACTACTTACAGGTTCTGGAAAAGATCCAAACTTTCCTAAAAGAGATGAAATTGAGCCACCTGGAACGAATTCTAACAATATATTTAAGGACCCCTCCTCTCTTGCAGTTCCTAAATACCTCTGAAAGAAAATAATAAAAATAGTATCAACACAACTCCAAATTATCAGTCAGCCAGACAACCTGTAAGAGCATACTCACCACAATGTTTGGATGTGAGAGATTCTTTAGTAAATTGACTTCTTCCTCAAGCTCTCGAATGTGAGCCTATATATTTCCGATACAAAAATTCATTAACTTATCCAAAGTGACAGAGAACCCCCTTGAAGCATATCTACCCCATCTCAGAATAAAAATTTATTTCAAAACAGTTAAATAGCTGGTTATCAATTGGATTAAAATTTTAAAACATTCCACAAGGACGACTGCTCAACTGAACTTACACCTGCTTAAAAGAAACGGCCCCAATGCATGAGTTAAAGTAAACCTAATAACTAAATTGTATCCTCTTACTTGCGCTCTCTCTCTCGAAGCACTGCTGGCTGCAATTGAGACCTGCATTTGAATAGAGCCAAGAGATTTCAAACTAGATCCCCAGCCAAATACCAATAAGTAATAAAAAAAAATGTATGAAGAAGTAGCAACACTAATCAACGATGATTCCTTACCTCCTTTACAGCAATCAATTCCCCAGAATCGAGATTCATCCCCATATAAACTCTCCCAAAAGCGCCGCAACCTATCATTTCCCCTTTCCGCCACCGGATTGGAGGCGCGTCGTCTTTCCTGGACTTCATATGCTCTGTTTTGGAGATCGGTGGCAAAGCAGGCAACTGAGTCTTGGAGAAAATTCCTATTTTTGACTTTCGGATGCTGGAACCGATCTTCTCCACGAACCCCCCAAAGCCACTACCGCCATCGTCCAATTCCCCGGTCGGTCTGAAGACCAAAGATCGGCGAACTGAACCGATAAAATCTTGCATTTGAATTGAATAACCGCAAATTGGACTAGATTTGGGTTTAGGCACTGCGGTGTGGGGAGGGACTATCTGTAGGTTTCTCTGGTAAGAAGGATTCGAACGTTGGAGTAAGTGATAAAAAAACAGGGGAGGGAAATGAAAAGGAGATCCGTTTTTTTCAAAAATAAATTCTTAGAAAGTTAGAAACCAATGAATAGAATTAGAGAGTATAGAGTATTTAATTGGTGTCTTATCATGATTTGAGGAAAGATATGACTTTGATGACCAGAGTTTCCTTAAAAATTGTGATAATGATTATAAAAATTATAATAATGATCGGACAGAAACATGACTAATTATATTTTTTAACAAAAATATGATTAGTCACTATATATAAATAACTAAAGTCATTATAGTGTATTTCAAAAAAAAAATCACAAGTTAATCATGAGTTACCGGGAACTAACCAATGAATATGACAGCTTTTGAATTTTTTTAAGATAAATCAGATTTTTATGTTTTGAATTTAATTGAGTAATATTCATTCCTATATAATTATTATAGTGATGAGGACATGAAGGCCTTTTAGATTCACTCAAAACATCTTAAGAGAGAGGATCTTAACTACTCCTATATGGGTTGCCATTCATTTGGACCAATGTCACTTGTTTAATCATAATTTATTGTTTCTTTACAAGAAGAGGAAAATTTCACAAGTAGAACAAATGTCTTCATCACTTCATTTTACGGATGTAATTTATGTAGATGCTACTTGGCTATGAAACTATTAAAAAAAGATTTCATTTTCATTTTATAATATAGTTACTTGATATAACACCTCATCTTTGTTAATGACTTGATGTTTTATAGTAGTCAACACTTCTTTTATGTCAAAGTGCTAACAATATTGTCTATGAAAAGGATGACATTTTAGCTCTAACTAGATTTCAAGAGGATACCTTTTCAAGGAGGTACCTTGGGATCCTTTTGGCCCCGTTGAGAGTATATATATGTTTTGAGGCCCACTTACTTGAATGGTAAGCTTAATTACTATGTGACTCCCTGTAAATTGAAGTCTATGACCTGTGCCGAGATAGTTAAATTTTTAAGGATTGTTGTACAAGGAGATCGAGCAATCATATCAAGTACAATCCTTCAATATGCCCGGATCTTTTATTAATAGTTGTATAAAGTTCCTTCACAATGGCAAAAGTCAAAGTAACATACTCCGTATTTTTTTGTTTGGATAAACCGTAAATTTATATAACAGGAACACCATTACACAAACAAAGCAGTGAACTATATAATAAATCAACAAAAACCTCAAAGCCAAGTCAAGAACAAGATGACAAGGCTACAATTCAGCAAAAATTTACCAAACTAACTAAACACCAAATCATTTTTCTTGTCAAAACACAATCATATCATGGGGATATAGCTTGTACAAGATCTTATAACACACAATCTTGACTTGTTTAGTTAAGTCATCTAGATCTTTTATGGCATCTGCAAAAACACCTTGATTTCGTGCTTTCCAAATTATGTAAACAGAGCAACTCAAGGCCAATTCTTATTGCTTTACTCATCAGCCCTGCATGGGTATAAAGTTGATCAACAAATCTAGTTAGAGCTAAAATGTCATCCATTTCATGGACAATATTGTTAGCACTTTGACATAGAAGAAGTGTTGACTAGTATAAAACATCAAGTCATCAACAAAGATGAGCTATTATATCAAGTAATATATTATAAAATGAAAATCAAATCCATGTTTAATAGTTGCATAGTCAAGTAGCATATACAAAAATTACATCCATAAAATGAAGTGATAAACATTTGTTCTCCTTGTGAAATTCCCCTCTCCTTGTAAAGAAACAATAAATTATGACTAAACAAGTAACATTGATCCAAATGAATCGCAACCCATATAGGAGTAGTCAAGATCCTCTCTCATAAGAGGTTTTGAGTGAATCCTAAAAGCCTTCATTTCTTCGTCGTATAATTTTATAAGACCTTTCCAAATTATCTCATCCAGATCCTCCATATTTCTTTCTAATGTACTTTACTGCTCGATTTAGAGAAGATAATGATCTCCTTAATCCCAGCCACCTACAAATGATCTTCCATATATAACCAGAGATGGGCAGTTGAAAAAAGGGTGTTCCACTGTTTCCAATTGACTAGAGCACAAGGAACAAGTTTTATCCCCTTCCAAAACCGCAAACTTCCGAGGTAGGCAATCAATTACGTAAACAAAGCCAAATTATAAATGAAAACCTATGAGGTATATAACTCTTCCAAATAAAACACATCCAAGGTTTGCATTTTTTAAACTCCTAAACAAATCATATACTCCCGTTGGATTCAATTTACCATTCATAACTAGTGATTCCAAACCAGTGAGCATCTCTTGCTTATCACCAAACTTCCCAACTAAGGCCTCATAAGATAAGGTTCTTAAGCAAAGGTGAAGCTCTCTCATTTGGGTACCACTCCCAGATTGTCACCCCGTTAAGATAAACCCCATGGAACCAACTAATCCATAGCGAGTCCTTTTTAGTGTTTATATCCCACAGTGTCTTCGCGAGCAAAGCAGAGCTCCACACCCTAGGTTCTTTAAGTCCCAAGCCCTCCTCCTCTTTCGGTTTGAAGATATCACTCCAAGCTACCTTTGCTATCTTCCCATCCCAAAGAAACCTTCTACATGTGGTAATAATTCTGTTGAGAACTGTAGTCGGCATGGATTGTAGCCAATAGGGTTGCACTAATTGAATTATTACAACCCTAAGAAGTTATGTTCTTCTTGCGTAAGACAAAGACCTGGACTTCCATCTTGTTACGTATCCTTCAACCTTTTCGATTAATGGGGAGCATTGAGCACCGAGACCCTTAGTAGAGCTAGAGGGATCCCAAGATACCTTAGAGGGAAAGTACCCGCTCTTATAGAGTAGACATAATAATCTCTTCCTTAACAATATCATTGACACCTGCTACAAAAACATCAGATTTGGCTAAACTAATTGTTAGTCCTGACACCTCTCTGAGTTCTTCATCTGCAAATATGAGGTGGAAAATCCCCAGTTTGCTACACCTGGGATGAAAATTAAAAGAATCTTTTTCCGTTTCAATAGCTAGCAACCCGGATAGATACAAATAATAAACAATGAAGTAAAAGTGAAGTTTCACTGAGTTCAACTTTATTTTAAGAACTTATGAAGTATACACGTTAGGAAGTATTCTTTGTGGATTATATGGTTTAATGGATTAAGGAGTGGAGTCCCTCCCAATGGCAAGACTTTACGATGCTTAAACAACTCGTGAAAGTTAAAAGAAAATTGTTATGTTACTTTTGATAGTTAAGAGGCCTTTGTGATAAGATTATGATAAATGGCAAGTAGATTCTTCTAAGCGCGATTATTTTCAAAAACCAAGAATGCCAGCCAATCATATATGAATGAACATTATTTGGAAACAATACATTTTACTCGGGTATTTTTTACTCTTTGACTATATTTCAAAATAAGTTGTAATTTTGACATGGAGGGGACATGTGACTTCCGTTGTGACCACTTAAGGACTATTGAATGTTTATTTTTAAATTGTTTCACCATAATTTATGTCTAGATGAGCATATTTTTGTGGTTAGGAGTCAGGAGATTAATATTCACTCTATACAGTCGTGTCAAAGTGCTTCAAAAAGAATACTCGATCGAGGAGCAATTTGTTAGAATAAAATTGAGTTGCATTCTATACACTATTTGGAAAGCTACGAGTAGTGGTATTGTTAGAGAAAATTCTACTACATTTGAGAAAATGAATATACAGATCATTGTAGTAATTTCAAAAAATTAGTACAAAATCTATCCCCAGTAAATGATTAATTTTTTTTATCTCTACCACTAGATGTTTGTTTTGGCTTTTGCTAGTGTATGAAGTGGTGCGGTGGATTTGAGAATGCTTCAGGTATTTCTTACCTTTCATAAAAAGAACTCACCCAAAGATAAGTGAATCTTACAATTGTACAAGACTATATATAGGAATTTGAAATCAAGTTATTTTATTTGTGTAATTATCACAATTTAGAAAATGAAACCAACAACATGGTCAAAACTCTAATACCTTATAGTTTAATTTGGCAGGTTTTTTATATTTCTCCCTATGTTCCATTTTTTCACATTTTGACTTAATACGTTTATTAAGAAAACGGTGATAAATGGAGGTGTATGATTGTTATTGTGTAAGAAAAAGATAAATGAATGTTTACCATACAAGTTATTCCATAAAAGAAAATGTCAATAATTTTTGCGGAATTCCAAAAAAGGAGATGATTTTTTATACCGAGGTAGTATTTACCAATTTGGCATCCCATCGGTAGTGGCTGGTGTTGATATTTTGCTCCGGCGCCTTTGCCACGAGAGATAGTAGCGATAACAATATATATATATTGATATAACACCATCTCAATAGATCTTCGTAATTGTATTATGTTGTGCTCAATTATCTAGTTTTTAATTTCAAGAAGTTTTCTCTAAATGAGGGCTATAGTTTTATTATTTTTCTAATATTTATATTCAATTCATTAGAGGTTATTAGCTATTTTTTTAAAACAACTTTAAATAAAATCGGTGGTGATCAAAATAACACTATTGATGTCCCCCTAAGATTAGTACATATATGAAGAGGTGATGTTGTTATTAAGAAAAGTGAGATTGTTGGGTCAGTATAACATTGATAAACTATGAATAAAGTAAGAATCATTTTTACCACTCAAATATTACCAATTATGATATTAAACCAACCTAATGAGATGAGCAAAAAAAGTAAAATGAAACATAGACAAGACGACAAACTTAATGAGACTACATATCATTTCATATTTACCCAATTACTCAAGTATAGAACACAAATGTTACGAAACCATTTTTGAACTTCAAACCTAGTCGTAAAACCTATAGAAATGACACTGAACTATGAAATAAGCTTTGATGATAGTTTGATACAAGTTTTTAGGTAAAAAGTGTCAAATAGGCCCCCCTACTAATATGAAAAAGTCAATTAAGCCCCCAAACTAAAAAAACACCCAATTAAACCCAGGAACTATAAAAAACGAGGCAAAACAGCCCTTTTAGCATGTAATTAACCGATTCCCGGTAAACCTTTACACGTGGCGACAGTCGACAGGTGGCCACAAATGGCAACA